AGCCTTATTAATATTTAAATTAAAACATTATATTATTGTACCTAATACATTTGTTTTAAAAATGGTATTGACATTGATCATTTTTGCATCTTACCACAGAAATATACAATGCATATATTATGTATATTATTATATTGTGCATATTACATAATGAATGGTATTTTTTTATTTATACTTACTCTTCCCTGTTTACTCAGCTTATTATGAATGTGAAAATACAGTAAAGGGTAAAAACCTTAATTTAGAATAGGTGCAAATAGGAGGAAAGGGGCTGTACCCTCTTTAAAATTCAACCAGTTCCTTCTAAATGAAATCTTTATCAAGTAAATACTAAGTATTCATGGTCAAAATTAATCAATATTATAGGGCGTTCAGCCCCTCTGAAATATTTTGGTTATTTGCATCTAATCACCATGTAATTGAAATATTTTCGACGGTCAAATTATTACAGATTGCCTATGTAGTTTTATAATATATTTTCAATACGGTTTATAAGACCGAAAATCCATATTTTGTGTTTTAATAAGGTTTTGTATAAATACTGTCGGTGATATATATAGATACTGTGTAGGTCAATATATATAAATAAATATTAAGCGAAACAAGGGTTTAAGTCACTCGAGGCACTTGGCTATCCGCAGCAGTGTAGAGGTTGGTGAATGTTAAAAACTACAATGAAAATAAATGTCGAAAACTTTACCCGAATTACTCGAATTTCAACTAGTCATAACTTTTGAACTAATATTAGAGAACGACAAGTTCTGTTGTCAGATTCAGTATCAGCAGAGTGAACACTATACCTATTATGTAGACAGCAAAAAATAAAATTATAACTACACAGTAATAATTCTAGTTTAAATATTTTTATTTAAGTTATTATTCTTTAATTTGTGATGCGTGCGTGTGTGTTTTTTTTCTGAATCTGTGAATACGGTTTAGATCCAAGAAACTTGCTCAACAAACATTATAGGAGAGGTTTCTGGAAGCATTCTGAAAATTGAATGTGTGCATATTGTGAAGGTGAAAATGTCAGATAATCTGCAAAATTATTTTAACTGAATTACAACAGAAAAGCAAAGTCTAAAATAATAGAAACAGTTATTGTTTTATTTTTGAAATGTTTAACCCCAATTGTAAAGAAAACTGAAGGTTAAATAATAAAAAAAAATACCCAATACCTAATTTTTTTGTTCTTTCACGTATTTTTTCGGTTTTGTTTAACTATTTAAATAACACGGAAAATCAAAAAACTACGTGTGAAAACGTGTTTAAGGAGCAGCGCTAAATCAGAAAATCGACATTATTGACAGTGCGGTGTTAATAAAAATAATGTGATTACAGCTTTTGCTCAAAATTCTTCTAGCACTTCTCCCCTCAGAGGGGAGAAGTATTAGAGGGGATATTCTTATTATAATTATATTAGTTTTTCCAGAATTTTCATATTTCATTGACCGTAATTTTAGTTTTCTTATTTTGTTGTTAACGCCGGTGCCATCTTAATGAATGCAACTTATTCGGACGAATTTAGTAGATTTTGATACAGCATATTTGGGTTTTGCTAAGGTCCATAAAACCTAAAATGGCTTTTTAGTGGGTATCAGTGTGTAATTGTCGTATTGAACTTCACCTTTTGGCCATCATCTATTATGTAGCCAATAAATCTAATCGAAGAAAATTCACCCGGAATAAAATGTTGCCGTGCTTCAGCGAGTCATCGATCTTAAACCAAAGCCAACGATTCTAGCAGCCAGCAGATCAACGGTATATTGTTCGCAACTCACTTGGATGGTCAGATTCAACCCGGTCATGCCCCGATAGTTTTTGCAATGTAATTTGAAATCTTATATTTCTTTTCTCCAACAGACCTTTAATCATAACCATATCGCATACAAAAACGTCGTCGTCCATGCACAAGTTTTTTCCGATAAATAGCCGTGTAAAATATATCCTTAAGCAATCGTTTAACACGGTATTTTGAATACCTACATCCAGAACTGGATGATTCTTATGGATAAATAACATGTTATAATAATTATATTCTACGCCATTTAAATTAGATACAATAAATACACATTAGCTTACAGTAGCAATAAATAATTACATACTTTTAAATTTATTTTTTTATTGATTCAACATTGTTGTCGTAAAAAATTATAAACAATTAGCATTGATTATAAATAGATATTCATTGTACACTACTCCAGAATAATAGACAGTTGAATAAGTTCTTGGGTTAATTATTTGAAAAAAAAAAAAAAAATGGCGTACATCCAAGGCAATACATCCCAGCACCTACATATAAGTTATACATATTATGTTATGACATTCCACTTACCAAAGTTTTGATTTATTGCCAGGGACGTTAAAAGATATGTGCGCTCATTGTCAATTTTTTTTACCAAATAATATTATTTTACTGGCTAATAATATTACTAATTAAAATGTTAATCTAACAATGTAATATTCGTAGAGTATGCACCTCACTTTGTAGAGTCCGCCGACATGATATATTTTAATATTTTGAAACGCTCATTAATTAGGATGATAAAAACACTAAAAAAATATAACATGTACATGTATTAAATTAAAATAATAACGAAAAATTGCATATCATGAATAACATTATAATTTAAAATAATATAATGACTGCAAAAATGTGTTTAACAACCGTAATAGATAATATCTATTAGTCGTGTAAACAAGAAGTATCTATACGTCATAATGAATAATATCGTTTTTTATAATTTAATTGAATGACGATGGTAATTTAATTAAATAATAATCCGTACAAAAATTTAAGTTTTTCATTTCGTATAATATTTGATTCGCGTAAATAAAACTCGAGTAAAAAACTATCAGTATTGCAACAAAAAAATTTAAAAACACATAAAATACAATACTAAGATATAACAGAATGTATTATAGGCAATATTATACGTAAAACATATAATTTTCTTAGTGTTCAAAGATCTAAATATTGCTAGAAATAATCAAAATAAAATCTATGACACGCAATCATTAAACGATTGCAGATTGGTAGGAGAGATTAACAAGAATTATGTATTTTTTTTTAAAGGGTTTGATCTCTTGGAATGAGGCATAGGTAAAGCTAGACTTTTTACAGTGTTTAGAATTTTAAAATGTGCTCTTTACAAAAATTACTATAAACCTGTAGTTCTCATGAGTCATTAGATCATTTAAATTTTTTTTTAAATTTTTTAAATCAACTCTCTTTCTATATAGAGAATTCCCCACATCCTTAATTATAGAATTATTATATAGGGGGCGTTAAAAAATTGATTGCTACTCAAGGGGGCGGTAACTTAAATAAGGTCGAGAAACACTGCTATAAACTATAATACAGGAGATTTCTTTTATTATATAATATATAAATGTATACATTTTAAAATTTTAAACAATACATGCTTAGGGTGTGTTAAAACATAACTCTCTCATTTAGGGAGTTAAATCATATTATATTATAGTTAGGAAACCATAAATTGTTGTGTTTGGTGTACTGATGAGATTAAAATGCAATATATCCAGTATTTTATCGGTGTTAAATATTGATTGGTACTCGTAAATTCAGTTAATTCTTTAAAGTGATTAGTAGTTTAGGTCACGGCGAGTAATGCGATACCTACGATGTGTAGATAATAATTATAGGTTATTTTAACCTTATTTTTTCCATTTTCTTATATAATAATATTTGTGCTTAATAGTGTATATAATAATATATATATATTCAAGTATACAACGTTTGAAGACAACAATAATGTTGTTAATAGTTAGTATTATATTTAACTTTCTTTAAAAATTAAATTTTGCATAAAATAATTTTTTAGTTTAAGACTTTAGCTAGTCATAATTGATACAAACTCTGTCCAATTACATAATTATTGTTCTCACATATTTTTGGCAAGATATTTTTGAATTACTTATATACTCGTATTTTCTAGTTAAGTAAAATCATGACTGGTATTAATAGGTACCAATATTATATTGTGTCAGCAGGTTAATAAAAAATACCCATGCACAAAATTATTTGTTTATATAGTATTAGTTATATTATCTAACCTGGCGCACTGTTCAGGAATGTCGTCGAGAAATTCAATAGGATACGGGGTTGAAATAAGTTCGGGTGTTTTGTATTGATCACGTCATTACACTGATGTTACACCGACATTGTTTATTTATTTAAAGAATACACATAAACATATTATACTTAAGAAAACCGTATAATTATATTGTTGTTCTGACAGTATTTCCAATATTGTTAAAACACGTATTCGATTAAATATTATACCTATTATATTATGCAGGTAGGAAGAAAAATTATTTGATTTGTTTTTTTTTTTTTTTTACTCGGTTGGCTTACAAAAATAAGTTGACAAAAAGTATAATAATTACAATTATAATTGCTTGATCGATAAATGTTTCAAGTACACATAATATAATACTACGACTACTACTACAACTACTAATAATAATAATGCAAAGTCAAATATATTATTAACATGGTATTCCAAATACTATAAACTACATTAATAATATATCTAATTGATAATTTATAATCGTCATAGTACCTACCTACACATAATAATATAGGTACCTAATAATAATTCAAGAAGTTGAATGGAATGAATAACCCATATATTAGGTAGGTATATTATATTATATAATGTATGTAAACTCAAGTGCTCGGTTTCAGATAAAAAGTACAAAAATTACATAATATTACCTGTTTAAATTGCTGTCAGGTATCTATAGGTTTATAATATTATGTATATAGTTGTCTATAACTTGTATAATAATTATAATTGTTTGTTTTTTATCTGTTTTGAATTCAGAATGTTTACATCCCATTCAACTGTTCACAACGAGAATATCATACCCGGGGTATACTTAGAAATAAATTAACAGTAGTGGTAACAGTAATTATTATACCGAGACGAAAATAAGATTATAATATTATTTATGACAGTTAAAAACTTTGTATATAGGTACATTTTTAGGTCGTGTTAAAAACGCTACAGGAAGTATTAAAAATCGTTTTAAAACTGAAATATACACGTGAGACTTACAATATTAAATTACGAAAAACTGTAAACGGCAGTGTCATGGTGGTGGATCCAGGGAGGGAGGTAGGGGAAGTCAAACGCCCCGTGTTCATTCTCCGATATACTCTTGGTGCCCAATATACCCCTAGCTTGATTCATCATTGAACTCTTATAATGTTTATTGCATAACCTTCTCCGTTATCTTGGCCTGGATCCGCCCCCGCACTGCTTACAGTACAATATATTAAAATAATGTAACTTTAGAGATATTATGATATTATAGTATCGAAAAAAAAACCAATATTAAAAATAGAATAACATTGTATAATAATCGTTTTTAAACTTAAAATAATAATAATTATAATACATAACTTATTATTATAATATATAATTTAACAAAATAGTAATAGAAATGACATAAACGACAAGCTGAATTATTTTTTTATTTGACTCGCTACGGATTTTTAACACAAAATGCGCTACCTATAATACGAGTATATAATATAATATAGATGTAATAATAATAATAATATTTCGTTCCGGGGGTTATTTTTAAAAAAAAAATAAAAATAAAAAATTGTCGACTAAACACACGAATCTTATCGTAAAAACACGGCGAGTTCAGAAATAAACTATAATTTTTTTATTATGTCTTCACATAATATATTTAAAATCAATAAATTGAAAATTATTCAAATCGGGGAATTAAAGTAACAAAAAAAAAAAGTTAAAGAGGGGATCGTGACGTCAACCCCCCCCCTCCCCGGTCTAATCCGTCACAGATAAAACTGCGAATAACCTTGACCCGGTGTAATATTATCTACATTATTCTATTATGCATGTATTATAGTGTAAGTCGAATCGGACAGACTCAGATAATAACATGACGTGCGTATAGCCGTATCGGTAGGCATGTATAGCGGATTCAGTTTATCGGTGATAATATTACATTATCTTATAATGGATGAAACGAGACACGCGAAAGACAAATATCAAGCGTGATGTTTGTGTGCATAATATAACGATTACGAACAATGTGATTTTTTCTTTGAAAAATATTCGTGAGTTATATTATAATAATATTATATGGACACGTTTAATCTTATATAATATGGCGGCTACACAGGATAGGTCACGTTATTATTGTATCGCCCGCTACAATCAAGGCGGTAAAAATATATACAAATATGCTTGATGAAAGAAATTTTTACACGCGTAATTAAACCGCATATTATTATGTATACCTATTATATAGATTATAAATTCATATTTTTTCGTGCGTGTTATTTTGGATGCCCACGATACGTAATTTTAAGGAACGAGCACAACTATATTATACTATATAGTTATAGGTAGAGAGCTTAAGAAAGAAAAAAAAGAGAGATAAAAGAGAGCCGTCTACTTTATACTCAGCTTATCACTGTTTACTGGATTTCCATTTTATATCCGCGGGCAGGATTATTATAGATGTGTTATACAGTATAGTTATGCAATGTATTATCCGAATAATGTTATACAATATGATTGAGGCTATTAATTTTATGAATATCTTTCTGAAAATTCGATATTTTTCGAAGAAATACACATTGTAATAGTAATACCTAGGTATCAGTATACTATAGAATTTGTACATAGACGGTGTCCGGGTAAAAGGGACAGGTCCATTTTAACGGTTTTTTTTTTTTTTTTTATGGCATATTCTTGTTGATTATGATAATAGGTTCATTTTTCATAAAACCTATGGTGAAATAGGAATAAGTCATCAGTCACGATTATATTAGTTAGGCATGGGTACCGACTGCGTCCGTTCAGTCAAGATTCATTTTTCGAGGATTCCACCTACATAGATAATTTATATCAGTTCAGTTGCCAAAATATAAATACGATAATCGGTGCCCGATCGAAACAGAACTGGAAATGTATTAATTTTGTATAATGTGCGATCAAAGTTTTAATCAATTTGGAAATTTGGCTGCGACTACTAAACTGAACAGACATATAATATTATGATTTAGTGTCGCCCCTTTACGAGAACGCCTGTGAATATGCCTATTATCGTTTTAATAATGGTTTTTTTTTAAAGGTACTTTTTTTGTCTTCTAAATTTGATATTCTGTGTGTATCTGTTTGTGTGTGTGTTTCTACGCTATTTAAATAGACCATCCTTATAATATACTGCAAACGGTACACCTGCTGCACTTAGGCGTGGTGTCTGTTATTGTGGTCCCGGTCTTCTTGTTGCAGATTGACGGGCTGCACGCGGTTGTGTGCCGCCCGTTCTAGTCTCTCCACCACCATTTCTTGCGCCCTATTGGCGGCTTGTACCGCCGCCGCGTCACCACCCCGCCGGTGGTGGTTGTTGTTCTGCAAGTTGACCGGTTCTGGTTGGAATTCCTGATTGAAAATCGGCAACCGACAGTGCCTGGACCATTCGCTCTGCAATATAAATTTCGGATATTAAAAAAACAAGATAAATGGCCGAAAAATTCGCTACAAAACACGAGTAATTAAGTTAGAATCGTGGAGATTTCTGATTTTGAGATTTCTGCGGTCCCAGTTGATTATCGACAATTTGTATACATACATTTGTACTTTAAACGCATATAAAAGTAAATTACGACAAAGAGATCAACATTTTGTTTCACTAATAAGTACAACTTATTAATCTTGTATTAAATATTTGTTAGAAAATATACGAAACAACATCATTTTTTTACGGATGAAATCAATCAAGTTTTAAATAGGTAACTAAAAAAAATGCCAGTGTTTTAAATATTAAATCGCTTTTAGAAAACGCTAATATAAGTATTCATTACCTACAAATTTCAGGTTTCTACGATTAAAGTTTTATTAAATTACAAAAAGAAAAATCGATTTAAAAAAAAAGCTGTAATATTTCTATTTATCCGATGTTTTTCTCCGGATTTCCTCTATTATCAAGCAAAATACAAGAAAAAAAAAAGGCGGACATATATATAGTGGATTGGCCACTGTTGTAGGCGAGAAGTTGGGAAGGTAGGATACAAAAGGGAATTTAATGTATTTTTATATGCAACGATTAATCAAATAATAATTAATCAACATAAATGAAAATAAAATGTAGACTGTACCTACTTTATTGGAAAAGTTTTTTGAAGTGTCTAATACTATCTTCAATAAAATTGATTTATAAGTTTTTTTTTTTTAAAACTTTTTCGGTATGTAAAATGCTTTGTTTTTTTTTCTTGTCGTACCTATCTCGTACCTAAATACGTATTGTTCCATTCTTTCATATCCCGAATTGAAATTATAGATTCGTGAGGTATAAAATAAATGAATTTGATTAGAGACTGGATAAGTATTCATATCATTCATCAGACATAATACAATCATACAATAATTATATAAAATAAATTTGAAATAGTTATTGCGATTCGGAAATGTTCTAAATCTAAACGACTTTCACATCAAAATTTCAAACTCACCGATTGGTGGTGGTGGGGATATACACCGTCCCCAACAACTCTTTAAAATCCTGTTCTGATGGTGGTGATAATTTATTATTACGATAGTTTCGGCCAGCAACAGGTTTACAATTCTCTGTGTCCGTTTAAAGACGCGTAACGGTGCAAATGTGCATAGAGTCTAATGCACTAATTGACAAAACTTAGTTGTCTAATCATTAGACCACTAAGTTTCCATCGGAGATAGCAAGTTGTGTCATAAAAAAAGGTATCTATAGGGCCATAGCATTATGTTGCGTCCGGTGTTATGTACGTGCAAATGTAAATTGCGCCGACAGGAAATCCGTCAAAATAAATATTTGTTGATAAATGAGCTATAAATTCTACATTTATTAATTCACTTGTTAGTTCGCCGAATGTCGTTTTATTGAACGTAAGTATATCAACACTAACGTGTTAAATTGACAAACAAAATGAAACCTTAACGTTGATCGGTGATAACAAATTTTGATTTCATAAATAAAAAAATAAAAAAACGAAAACGGTACGCCGTAAATATTTGATGTTTTACCTATAATTTTCTTTCGACTTTTTCCGACTATCTCGAAAACCCCTCGAAAAATCAAAAAATGAAATTGCCAACGCATCAACAAGAGAATATTACCTTTTAGAACAGGTGCTGTAGTAGTATAGTTCATATTTAGGAGCAAGTTTTCTGGTAGAAAAGTTGTTCACAGTCAGTAAAAAAAAAAAAAAAATACACTCCAAATCTAAAATGAAACAACGTTGCAGTTTTACCGTAAAAACGAACGTTTTACAAAATTTGATAACGATAATTATTTGAACGTTTTTAACGTAATCATAAAACGAAATGCAGTTGGTCATAATTTCTAATATGTGATAGACCGTATAAAATTCAGTACATAATGTACTAAATAACGGCGGTATTAAAAGTTTAAATTGCAAAGATATATTGAATAATTATTAATACGAATAAATATACATTAGCATCAGTGTTTGAAAACTCAAACATTTTTTTTTAACGGCATTTAATTGACGCAATAGTTTACGTTAAAAATGTATTTATTGGGACACGTAGCCGGGATTTATTTATTTATTTTTTGTGGAGGGCTCCGAACGTGTAATTCATCACCAACTACCAACAACAATAGGTATTTTCGGTGAGAAGTTTATATTGCGTGCGGGGGGTCCAGCACCCACTATCCTCGGGCTACGTGCTTGTTTTGGGACGCGACTTACGGACGGCCTTATCATCTCGTACGTACACCGCGTATCGCCGCCGTCGCTGTTTATGCGTCATCCGTTTCCGAACTCGTAAAATAATAATTGTCGAATAATTTTTCTCGACAGCACCTACATAATATATTGTATCTGTGTTGTTCCCGGCCGTCACCACTCTCCGAGAGTTCTTTCCGCGCCGTCCGACACTGCCCTTTCCGTCACTCGAGATTCTGTGCTCTTTCTCTCTCTCTCTCTCTCTGTCTCACCGCTCTATCTTGCCAACACCAGATAGACCTGTGTTGCTATAACACACGATTCGTTCGGGGGCGTTGTTTCGCCCGATCCGTGTCGCGTCTCTCTTCATTTGTATGCGTACGTGCATGACATGTGAAAGAAAAAAAAAAAAAAAATTACCGCCCGGATTTCGGGAAATTTCTGCGCGGCGGCTTAGCTGTATAGGTGACGCGACGTCGCCGTCGTCGTCTACCCTCCGGCGGCGGCGGCGGTCGGGGCGTCGGCGAATTATCGTCTCCGCGGCGCGTGTTTAGTTTTAATGGAGTTGTCGGTTTCGTCGAGTGTATAATATTATAATTACTGTAATTTATTCCGGCGACGACGGCGGAGGCGCAGACGACCGCGACGAGTACTGAAACGAAATCGATCCGCGATAAAGTAGCGGTCCGGGGGCCGCGCGTGCACGCAGACGACGGGGCCACCATGGGAAATCTTCGGACCTTTTCGCTGCGCGTCGCTCCGCCGCCGCCGCGACAACGACAATAATATTATTATTATTATTATTATTATCATTATTATTATCATTATTATTATTATTATCGTCGTCCGTACGCGGCACGCGCGATTTCGACGCCGCCACGGGTGCCGCTATACATGTAAATACGACCGTTATAATATTGTTATCATACGCGTACGTATACGGTTTTGATTGGGTCGTCGTCACCCATCACCTTTACCCGGCGTCACGACCGTAAAACATTATAATGCACGCGTATTGAGAGCGAGAGAGCTTATAAATAATAAATAGGCGGGCGAAATATTATAAAGCGAATATGTCACGCGCACCTCCTCTCCCCTCCACACACACACACACACACACACACACACACACATTGTCATACACTACAAAACACCACCAACAACAACAACAAAAACAATAGCCATGGTATTATTATACGGCGGCCGTGCAGTTTGTGCACACGATCACGCGTCCTATCCGAGTTCGCGGTAATAATACCGCGAACCGTAGTCGTGGTATAAGCAATATAAAGCTTCCCGCCCGGAACAGTATCGCGGTTTTAGACACGGATGACGATAAAGAAATGGATAGGCCACTCCTGTACATAACGCCCCCGTAACACACTCCAGTAAGTGAGGCGGTTTATCGCGGTTCATCGCTATAAATATAAATAATATCTATGGGTCTAGACCGACACACAAGAAGAGCGATCCTCGACAAGACGATAATTCGTTGTCACGGAGAGTATTGATTTTATTTTCATTTTTTTCGAAACAATTGCAGATCTAAAATGTTACACTACCGTTTTTGTTTTTAAAGGAGGAGAGGGGGCAAAACTGTTACCGGTTTTTCAAACGTCAACCTACATTCAGAATTCCATAAATAGACAAAGTTTCAGTTTAAATAAACGTCACGTTGCAGAAATTCGTAATTTCCGTTAACCCTTTGACCGCGGGAGATTTGACACTCTTAACGTTTACGAGCTGACGTTTATTAAGCGGCCACTAATCTCCCCGTACCCGCGAAACGGCAAACCTAAAAGTAAATATGAACAAATTCAACGCTAAAATGTATCGGTCTGTTTATGGAATTTTTAATATAATATACAGGTTGCTATTTGAATAGCGACCGAGTATAAGCTCCTTTCGAAAATTAGACCGGAAAAAAAATAACGACGGTACAGTAACATTTTAAAACCGTTTGTTTCTCGAGTGTTCTGCAGAAAAAACAAATTTTGAAAAAAGTTAACACTTTTCGCGATGACTTGTCGACAATATATATTGGTCATCCATCAGTGTGTAGGCAGTGGCGTGCGCAGAGGAAGGGAAGTTAGGGGTTATACCCCTCCAATCATCAGTATAAAAAATAGAAGAAAAAAAAAGTAATCTAATATCGAAATGCTTCTATTTCATCCAAATTACGAGGAAAAGATTAATGTACCGATAAGAAATTATTGGGATTTTTTAGTCTAGTTGGGTAGAGAAGACAATTTTATGATTTATTCACGATTCTTATTTACTACAGGCCCTCCCATTGAAAACTGTTGGGCACGCTACTGTGTATAGGTTACGTTTTTTTTTTTTGTAAAACTCCTCGAATCTCCCATAGAAAACCACTATAAAGAATCGACTTGGTTACGTTTCGGCTCACATGACCGGGGATAAGGTCTGTAATTATACGTGCGCCCCGATTGTCGGGCGATGAGTCATCGCGTGCGTACAATGCGAATGTCTACACCTAAGTATACTCGTCCAAGTGCGGTTTTTTTGTTTGTTTGGAGGTATTTTTTTTGTAATTTTTTTTTTCCCGTCGTATCGGTGTATACACGCGAAAACTCCGCGTTCGTATTATAACGAACACGCGCGCGTACCCGTCGCGGGTCTCGGTGGTCTGTCGATTTCTTATACGCGATAGTTTTTACAAAATAAAAATTGTTTTTTTTTTTTCTCATTCCTAAGCTTTTATCTCTTTTGACCCGTGTTTACGACACGCGCGTACACGCCCCCGACGACTCCGGAGCGCACGCACGCCATTCGCGGACGTTGTATACATAAAAAAAACAAAAAAAAAAAAACAATTATTATCGTTTGTGTACGTGGCATATTCCAGGCATTCGATGTGCGTGTGCGTGAGCGCCGTGTTTTCTCAATTGCTCAAACGAACCACGTAAAAAAACGATAAGCAAAAAACAATTTTTCGACACCTCGCGATTTTCGATGCCAGTAATAGTGTTGGGTAGAACACTATCGCGTACGTTTGTCCTTTTTGACAACACAATTGCAGCATATGTTTTTCGATGGATTATTGATAACTTAAAAAAAAAAAAAAAAAATAAAGCCAAACTTCGATTGCATTTGTGTACAACGTTGTCAAATTTATATACTATACCTAAATATACTCGTTTTACTCAATACAAATTGTGTACGCAATCGCGTAGCTTAAAAAGGTATGGCCGATAACGAACGTACACGCCATCGTGTTTTACCCGCGATTTTCACGTTCGAATTTATTTAAAAATTAATTTTACCGTAACATGATAATAAATACCTATGAATTTAAATGAAAAGTATTTAATGTTTCTAACGGCGCCTGATACCTCTCGAAAATGTCAACGCGTGCACGGGCCTCCGCGTACACGGCGCCTATGTGTGTGTGCGTGTGTTTGTGCGTGTGCGCGCGCGCGTATCAGCGGCGTAACTTCTAATGCCCGTGGCAAAATATTGTGTTAAAAAGTCCTGAGGGCCGAAAGGTTGTTTCAAAAAAAAAAAAAAAAAAAAAACCCCTCACCTGTTCGATAATGACTAGGGGCCTCGGTCTAGACCACCGCAACGGCCCTCGTCAGTCGCGGGCCCGTGGCGTTTGCCCGCCCGGTATTTACGTCACTGGCGTGTGCGCCCACGGTTTAAACAATTGTTGTTTTTCCGGGAAATCGGCGGGTATCAGGACCGCGGAGGACCGACGGTCGCGCCGCCACAATGGTGTTAAATATCATAACGAGCGCGCCGCCGGAAAAGACGCGACACTTCGAGTACACCGGCGTGCGATGTCCGACGGCGCGGGCCCTCCCCCCCCCCTCTCCCCAAACGAGTGTTTCGCCGAGCGTCGCCGTCCTTTGCGAAAACCGTACGCGATAACGTGCGCCGCGGCGTTTACGCGCCGTTATTGTTTTCGTGCGTGCCGTGTGCGCGACGGCGGCTGAAAAGCCTTTGAGCGAACGCGCGCGCGGGTATCGCGAGACACGCGCATAATAATACAGACGGCGCGCAACCCATTGTGTACAAGCCGCGCGGTAAACACGCCGCGCGACACACGCACACCTACTTGTATTGTCATGCTGTTGTCGTCGTCGCCGTTTCGCGGTGTAACGTACGCTACGGGTGGCGCGAGCGTACGGCGTTCGCGCGCCGTTGGCGCCGGCCGAGCGGGTCAGTGGCTCGCCGAAAAAAAAAAAAATCGTGTACGCACGTGCACGCGTATTGCATAATGTCGTACGGCGTATTGTTGCGCGGTAATAGCGGATTCGCGTGTCGTGTTATTATCGTGTTGTTCGGCTACCTGCTCGTCGCCACCGTAAAATATAACATAATATTGTAAACGATAATTGTACCGGCCTAAACGCCGCTGTCCGTTTTTTAATTTTTCCCTTTTTTTTTTTTCTACCCGAAATACGATTTAACCCGACGAGTTAACTCGTCCGTCACG